TGACTTATGAGTACACCTGCCTACACCGCACTGCGTTCAGAAGGTTTTGACCAAAAACAACATGACCCCCATGCTCCACCCTCCCTATTACCCTGATCTTGCCCTAGGTGACATCTTTTCGTTTTCCCAATAAAAAAAGTCCTCAAAGGGAAACGTTTTGCCCATGTGGAAGAGGTGAGACAAAAAATGGCGGAAATACTAAAAGGCAGCAAAATCGACAAGTTGAAGAACTGTTTTGAGCAATGGAAAAAATGCCTTGATAGGTGTATTGCATCAAATGCAGAGTACTTTGAAGGTGACTGAAGTATAAACATGTAAGAATAAATACACAATTTTTTATTCATAAATTCTATTTTTGGGGGTCCTCCTCGTACATTACATAATAACAATAGGTATAGCTATAGACACTGGGACAGATGCTTAGTAATTCCTTCATTCAGTTTTCAGAGTGTTTTGTGAAGGTAGCAATATCTCTGAAGATGCGGAAGCCAAAGCTCGGAGAGGTCAGGTAACTGAGCTGAAGCCACATGCTACTGCATAGCAGAGAGTGGAATGTTTGCTTCAGGGGCCAGGGGCTTCTGTGTCAGGAGGCCTCCTCTGCCCTGTGGTTGGGGCAATGAGGTTGTCTCTCGTTGGGCTCAGCGTCCAGCAGGCCGCCTGCGGAAGCCCAGGCTGGGGCTGCTGCTTCCCTTGTGCATATTCCCTCACTTCAGAGACCACAGAGCTACTTCTCACAGGTCTCAGTCCTCAAAAATGGGCTCCTCTTCCAACTCAGGTCTCTTCTGAGACAAAAGACCCATGATCCTCCAATCAGAAAAGCCAACTTGCCCCTCCCCCTTATTACTACCTTTACTCTCTAGCCTGGGTGCTCTAGGTTATGGTGTGAATCAGCAGTACAAAGGTTTGTTGTTGTTGTTTTTTTCCCCTTCTATCTCACCCATTTTCCTAAAGGAAGATTGGTTGCTCCCTAAGAAACTTTTGAAGGCCATTAGGATGGAACATGAGCAAGAACCCAGAAGTTTTAGGTTCAAGTTCTAGATCTGCTGCTCACTAGCTATGTCATGAGCTAACAGAATTATTCTTTCCCTGTAGTTGCCCTATAGTATTATAATGTCAGCAAATGTGGAACCTGCCTGATAAGACAGATGCATAAGTCAATGCAGTTACCATACTTGGCCCATACCTGACACCTGAGACTTAATAAATGCTGGCTGCTGTTGTTATTGGTCATAACTGGCCAGAAACTGGGCAGCAGGGTCTGCAAGCAGCTGGAAGGATGAGGTGTGGGCTATGGATTGTAGCTGACCATCACTCCAGTCACTCACTAAACTCTCCTAGAGCTTCATTTATCCGGCTTTATTCTTTGTTAAAGATCACAGTCATGACTTTAAAAAGACCTTGATTAGGACACTTTTCAGTGTACCTAACCTCCTTAGTCAGTACACTATGTTTCTGCTGGGAGGTAATTGTTGCCATCTCTGTTGGGTTGCACAATTTGGGGAATAATTTGTACAAGCATCAATTGCCACCATGACCAGGGCATGGAGCATAATTATCTCTAGTGGAAACTGTGATTGAGCCTGGAATTGAAGCCTGATTTGCAGGGGCTAAAATGAGCTGCCACCTCCAGAGCATTACGTGCCTGCTAGATGGTGGGGCTGTAATCAACCTCAGCCTGTTTCCAAACACTCATTCTCCACGTTCCAGCGGGTCCAAAATCCTGACTCTGGTGAGTGTCAAGATCCCTGCAGAGTCTGTGGCTGCACTGAGACCTTCCTGTTGTCCAAGACATGATTCATAGTTTTCCAGGGATTTCCTTTACTCTCTTTGCTTTCTAGCCGTAATATCCTAAATAGGGTTTGGAGCAATCCATCTGCCACCACTCCTCGAATAGCAACGTCCTGCTCTCCTGACTCGGTGTTTGACTCAGGAAGATCTAGTTCTGTCTGTGGCTGAAAGGGAAGAAGATGGCAGATCCAGGCCTCCCTTCTCCCTCACGTGAATGACCACATACAACAGGAGAACATGGCCCTCACCATGGCCAATGTCTGCTCTACACATGGGCAAGAGGCCATACTTTGAGTACTTCTAAGGAGCTAATGATGGCCTCTGTGACGGGGGAGTTCTTTCATCCTGAGGCAAGGGTACATGTTCTGCCAGCCCTGAAAACATGCTGGGGATCGTATCTGCAGGTCCACAAATGTTATTTGATTGTCCCATGGCATGAAAGACTTAATTTGAGGCTCAGGAGAGAGAGAGCAGACTAAAGACTGAGACAATGTGGCCTATAGCGGCAGAACATGCTGAGTTTGAGCAAAAATACACATTCTACATGTAGTCAGCACTTTGTAAACACTGGGGAGAGAGTAGGCAGAGCTGGGATCAGTGTTCACAGATAATTCTCCAACTTTATTTTAGCCCCCTTTTTACCCTCCTACAGGCCAGCGTCTTGACATAATTACCTTGGCTACAGGATCCTTGTTTGTATCTCCAGAGAGACAGCAGTCTTTGAAGAAAGAACACGAGTCCGGAGACAGATGACCCAAGTCTGGAAGGAATCCCAAGATGAAGGAAATGTAAAATAGTAAAAAGTGCAGGCTTTTGACTCAGACTTCAGTTCCAATCCTTGTTTTGTTATACACTGTCTGTGAGACTTTTATACCTTATCCAAGCCTCAGTTTGCTTAGTGCAAAATGGAACAAATATCTGTCCTGTAAGATTGTTATTAAAGTCATTAAAACATATGTAAAGCATATAACAGCTGGCTCATCTTAGGTATTGAATAAATGGCAAGTATCACTATTATTAACATCTGTAAAAGGGAGATATTTAGTACTACCTACTTTGTAATGTGGTTGTGAAAAGCAGGAAGGAAAATGCCTTTGGCCTGTACATGTTTAATCAATGGTATTGTCGTTGGTTCTGTCTTTGCCAGGTACTATACCTCTGACCTTCAGCAGTCACCTCTGCCACTGGTAAAATGGGGAGGGAGTATTTCTACTCTACCTCACTCCCATAAGGACTGCAGTGGCAGCTGGAGATAATTACACAGGCCTTGCTTGGTTTTTGGAGTTGTGACAAATAAAATCACATACAACATATTGGAAGCCAGGAATGGGGAACAATGTGCTAGAATGAAACACCCTGGATTGGGGGATAAGGGACTTGAGTTCTAGTCTTGGTGCTCTTTTGCTGACCATAAGCAAATGACCAAGTAATCTGACCTTTAGGTGCACACAGTGGTGACCTCTCAGCAGCTGTGAGAAACACAAATGTGAGGAATTATCATCGTTACCATTCCTCGAGGGTAAGGCCAGTTTTCCCCTTTAATCTTTAGAACCCAGCAAAGTCCTTGGCATATAGTGGGGACTCTGTATTTCTGCTTGTTTAATGAATTATAAAACTGCCCAGAAGTTGTATTTTTAAACATTAGTTCACTTTTTTTGCCCATATGTTTATAGCTTTTGGTTTCAGTCTGACTTTTTTGATCCCTGGGCCTATGTCCCAAAGTATTTTATTCCATGCTAACCTTAACATACACAGAAATGTTATCTGGACACAACTAAAAGCAAGAAAAAAACTCGCTTTAAAGAAAGTAGAAAGCAGCTCTTTTGTCTATGGCAGCTATAAACAGTTTCACAAGTAACCTAACACCCGTCTCTGGTCTGGTTACCATTCCTCTATGTTCCCTATTATACTATGTACCCATTCCATGGAATTTATCCCCAGAGTGAAGGTGGCAGGCATTGCAGAGGCCTGACCTACTTATGTAGATGACCCTTCATGAGTAGTTAAGAATGTGAGGGACAACTTACAAGTCTCCTCCAAATGGGAAGTGGCAGATGGAAAGTGACAGAAACATGGATAAGGGGACTGGGCTTCCTGGTACCAGGGGAGAGATCTTGAAGTGGAATTTCTTGGTAGTATGGGGATACTTATGGAAATACCATATGTACCCTTCCCACCCATAGTACATACTATTCTGGAATTGTTACAATATTTGGTTTCTGAGAGCTTTCGAAGAACAGGGAACCTTGTAAAGGTAAGAGATGGAAAAGACCAAAATACTAAGAGTCACCACCGTTGGTTGTGCACTGTGATAATGGCCCTGGAACCACAGCATGGGCAAAGGTAGAGTGTTTTCCAGATCTGCCACGTATCAAGACTTCTTCTCATGTTCCTGAGGGACATCTGTGATCCTAAGTCATTTTAAATGCCATTTCCCACCCCCAAAGTTTTCTGCCTTTTTTTCCTTCCCCATCCCATCTTTCCCCTCTCTTCCCAAAGCCTGACTAAAGCCTCACCCAATCACTCTTGGTGGGTTAGGTGTCCCTCTGTAGACTTCAACTCAGTGCACTGTAATTTCTGGTTTATTTACTTACTGTCCAGTTTTGAAAAGTATGCCCTTTATCTTAATCAACATTCTATCCCCAAAATACCCCAAATAGTGCACCACAATAAAGTTGATGCTCAGCAAATATTTATTTAGTATACTAAATTTCTAACTTAGTGCATTTTAATTCCTCTAGATACTACAATAGCTTAGCAAATAGAGGTACATGTCGTTCTTTTTTTTTCTTTCTACAACAGACAATGAGTGTTGGGAAGCTAGACACCAATCAGCTCTTTTTTTCCTTGGTACCAGATCATCATACTGCAGAGCTCCTACAAACCATTAAAGTACAGCACTACAAGGCTGCGTAATTTGTTTAAGATCGTAGAATAAAATACAAAGTTTTTCAAACCATTTTACAAAACCAGCAAAACTCGGCAAAAAAATAAATAAATCCTACAACAAAAAGTAGACCAATTTCATTTAAACATTAATTTTGCAGTATATTAAATGTAACAAAACATAGCAAGACACAAACTTAAATTCTAGTTACACAAATACAACTATGGCAATAACATTCCTGTCCCCTCATACTACTTAAGAATCCAACAGCAGCTTCCATACCCGTGACCGCCCCATCCCTCCCTGACCACCTTTTTCTCAGCCCTCACCAGGAGCCGATGCCCGCCCAAGCATTAGCGCTGGCCCTAACCCTAATCCTCATACTGGCTTCCTCTGCCAGGGTTTCACAGTCCTGCACTGGCCTGTGCTGGGATTCCTTTTTATGGAGCTTGGCCACGAACTCCAGGATTTTCATCTTGCTGGTTTCCAGGTTGCTTCAGGGACCCTAAGGGAATTCACGTTCGAGTGGATTGGTGTGACGCACCGCCTGCAACTGAGGTTATCACTGCTGCAGGACACCTTCCATAATAACCCTCCTCGGGCCCTCAAAGAGGTAGTGATACGTGGAGGGACACACCCCCAACCGACTCAGCATCTCCTAGACCTTTGCCTCTGTGACGCTATTACCTTGTGTACCAACTGCTCCCAGATCCTCCTCCTCCAGAGGTTTCAGTTTGTTGATCAGGGTATGTGTGGTGCTTATGGCCAAGATGTTTCAGCTCAAAACCAAAGATATACCGCAGGTGTTCTGAGGCCCTAGCCATGATCTCAGGGAAAAGATCCTTTAAGTCTCCCATAATGTACTTCACCATCTCGGAGTGAGAGATGGGAGCGGGAACTGAACCAACGCCGTCACCGTCCGTTCTGGGCGGCTGCAGGCCCTGCGCCGGGCGGGCTGCGCAGCCCCTCTCCCCTCAAGGCGCCAAGGTCCGCCTTGGGGCTCTCCGCAGGTGGGGGATCGGGGCCTTCTCATGCAAGGTGGTCGGAGTCGCACCGTCATTAACCACCATCCTCCTGCTCCTCAGCCTGAGGGACTGGGAGATCCCCGCTCTACGGTTTCTGCAACGCGTTTTCGAGCAGCCAGGTGCAGAGCGCGTACGAGGGCCGAGGGATGTTCAGTCCGCTGCACAAACCCTGCGGAGGGGCTGGACAGAGGCTGGGGCGGCGGGAGGAGGTCTAGGAGAGATGACACAATGCACTGTGTGGGCAGCACCGCAGAGAACTCGGACCCGTGACTGCAACGCTGCCTGTGCCCGAAACCTGCGGCGCGGCCACTGCGCAGTCTCAGTCCGCGCCCGCGCGCCGGCTCGCGGGGCTACTTCCGGCCACCTCGGGCAAGATGGTTGGCCCCGGGGCCGCGGGAAACCCCTCCCCCGCCGGGCCCCTGTGGATGGTGGGGTGCCCATCGGCTTCTCTGGCGGTTGGGCCTCGGGGGCGGGGCGGGGGGGAGTGTCCTCTCTTTGCTGTTTTTTAGGCTGGAGCGCTGGAGGGGCGATACCAGTGTTTTCACAGCCGAGGCTTGCGGAATGGGGGATGTTTCAATGTACAAGGATGCAATAGGGATGGGGTTCTAGCCATGTCTCTCAGCAGGTGCTTATTTAGAAGTGTGTGTATCTAGGATTTTGAGTGATTTACTCTGGCCCAAGTGCGGAGTGCATGGAGGTGAAAGCTGGGAAATAAGGCTGTCCTGCTAATTAGTGAAGGGTCTTGAACAGGATGCTAGGGAGACTGAAACTTAATTCTGAGCACGCTAGGAAAATATCCGGACCCGTATGTATTTCACAGTCTCCCTCTTGGCAGTGCGGAGGATGGATTGGAGTAGGGTGGACCAAAAGCTGGGAATCCAGTTCCGAGTATTATTACAGTGCAAAACAGGAACTGGAATTTGGCCTGTCTTGTTCATTGGTGTATCCTTAGCTCCTAGAACAGTATGTTGAGGCACTCCAAAAATACTGTAAAACAGATGATGAAGGGGTAAGGGCGGCAGATTCTATGGGATGGAAGGAAAATGATGAGATAATATATTGATGTACAGCTGGCAGAAGCAGGGGTGTCCAACCTTTTGGAGTCTCTGGGCCACATTGGAAGAAGAATTGTCTTGGGTCGCAGGTTAACTACATTGCAACACATAATCACAAAAATATCTCATAATGCTTTAAGTAAATTTACAATTTTGTGTTGGGTTGAATTCATAGCCATCCTGAGCAACATGCAGTCCGCAGGCTACAAGTTGGACACCCCTGGCTGGAAAGGGGAGATTTTTTAACCTAAATCTAACTACTTCAATTTTTTCTTTTTGTATACCCTACTGAGAGCTTTCTTCCACTTCCCGCCTCTTTCTTCTCCCCTCTCCTCCCCACTTCCACTCTCTCTTCTCTCTCTTTCACCCTCTCTTCTCTCCCCAACCCCTCTCCAGGATTCAGCTTAAATGTCACTGTTCCAAAGTCTTCCTTAGTCCCCATGCCATGTATTGAAGTTATTTATTGCCATCTGTGAATCACCATAACAATTTGTATTTATTTAGCATCCACTTATATAGACCTTATTATGTGCTAGGCTCTGTTGTAACCGCTTTTCAAATATTAATTTGTTTAATTCCCATTAAGGTAAATACTATGATCATCTTCCCTATTTTATAGATATGTCTTTCCTATGGCATTTGTTATTTACTAGCTATGTAACCTTGGGCAAGTTACCTAAACTCCCTGCTCTTCAGTTACCTTATCAGTAAAATGGCCATAATATTAGAAACAACATTGTGGAGATTATGTGAAGTTATGCATATTAAGCATTTAACAGAGTGCTTGGAAAATATTGAATGTTCAAATAAATGTTAACTACTATTTATTGCATTTTTAATGTGCTGATACTGTGCTAAGTATTTACATGTATTAACTTGTCTATTCCTCGTAACAGCCCTGGTAGGTAAGTGGTGTTATTATTCCCATTTTACCTGTGAAATAACACAGAAAAAGGTTACATAACTTTCCCAGCATAATATGATTGAGATTTCAACCATATAGTATAATTCCAGAGACTTAACACAATATTAATATATGTTAATTATTATTGATGACCATGCTATGTATTGTAATTACTTTTGAGCTTATCTTTTTACCAAAACCAAACATCCTAAAAGCTAGGGCTGTGTCTTTAACTTTTTTGAAAAGCCCCTCAGAGCTGGCACTCAGTATGTAATTGTCACTGTGCGAATGATGGGAGGCTTTACATTTTACATAAGAAATAACATTTATTTTCAGTAAATATCTGATGATTAGACTTTTCTAGATATAATTATGAACTTCATTTTAAAAACTTCTGAAAATATATACTCATTTATACTGAATGACTTACAAAATCTGAAACTTTGTGAATGAAGCAGGAAGATGTTTATTATAGGTAAGCTTGAGGCTGTTATTAGTTTCTATTGTGCCAAACATTTTATGTACAGTATAATTTAGGCCTCGCAGATCCCTATTAGGAAGGTATTATTATCTTCACTTTACAAATGGGAAAACAGTCACAGAGAGGTTAAAATCACCTGTCCCAAACCACCCATCTGTTAAGTGCTAGATCGGAAATGGGAACCTAGATCTATTTTGAAGACTACTCATGACTGCCATGCTGGATTGCCTGGTTATCTGTTTCTTCTGAAGGTAGAGAGAGCCACTCCTTCCTAAAAGGATAGCACTAGACATAAAAATAGTCCACTTAACATATCATTCTCATATCAAGCATTGCCAAGGAGATATGCAGAAGATATAGGCATAGAAAGGACCATGCAGGAGATACATTGAATGGAAAGGATTCTGAGGGACAGATTAGCAGTAATAAGACAATTTTAAAAACTGAATGAATAATGTACCACCACGCATCCAAAAAGGGAGCACTACTGATAAAATAGGGATGAGTCATTATGTCAAGCAAAAGAAGAGAGATACAAAAGGTTACATACGATGTGATTACATTTAATCTAATGTTCAAGATAGTTTAAACTAATCTGTGGTGTATGCATTATAACGGGCGACTGGGGTTGCCTGGGAAGAGATTTGCGTGAACTTTCTGAGGGTGATGAGAATATTCTGTATTTTGGTTTGGGGGTAGGTACACATTTGTCAAAACTTATCAAACTGTATCCTTAATATATATGCACCTCACAGTATATAAATGTACTTCAAAATCATACAAACAAAAGTTTTTTATTGAGGTATAATTGACATAATATTAGTTGCAGGCATATAGCATAATGATTCTATATTTGTATATATTGTGAAGTGATCACCACCGTAAGTCTGGCTTAACATCTGTTACCATACATGGATACACAATTACTTATTTTCTTGTGATCAGACCCGGAGGTATGTATTTTTGTTCTTATTTTATAGAAGAGGAATCTGAGGCTGAGGGAAATTAACTTGCCTAAAGTTACCCAGTGAATAAATAAATGGAAATGCCAAACCCAGTCCAGATTTTTTTATTTTTATCCTCACCCCAAGGACAATTTTTCATTGCTTTTAGAAAGAGAAGAAGGCGGGAGGGAAGACCTAGGGGACGGGGAGATAGAAAGTGAAACATCAGTGTGAGAGAGAAACATTTTCATACATGCCCTGACCAAGGATCAAACCTGCAACCTTGGTATGTGCCCTGACTAGGAATCAGACCCACGACCTTTCAGTCTATGGGACCAAACAGCTGAGCTACACTGGCCAGGGCCAAATGTTTTTAACTGCAAATCTCATAATAGTTATAAAACCTTTGAGGTGGCTTTCAGGTTCAGATTGTCGCTGAAATTCATAAGACACACAATAGGCTTACCAGGCATAAGGGATACAGAATAAGGAGCAGAAGAGCACCTTAGGCTAATAGTATCATAAAGACCTTGAACATCCAGAGCCAATGTCACGATCACAAATCCAGCCTTTTCTTTTAAGAGAAACTTTAGTCTTCTTTTAATTTTTTAAAATTATATTTTATTGATTATGCTATTACAGTTGTCTCAATTTTGTCCCTTTTGCCACCCTCCACCCAGCACCCCCACTCCCTCAGGCAATCTCCCCACCATTGTTCATGTCCATGGGTCATGCACATAGTTCTTTGGCTACTCCATCTCCTATACTGTACTTTACATCCCATGGCTATTCTGTAACTACCTATTTGTACTTAATCCCCTCACCCCTTCACCCATTCCCCCACAGCCCCTCCCATCTGGCAACCGTCAAAACACTCTCTGTATCCAGGATTCTGTCTCTGTTTTTCTTGTTTGCTTATTTGTTTTTCACATTCAACTGTTGATAGATTATGTATTTTTTGCCATTTTATTGTTCATAGTTATGATCTTCTTTTTCTTAAATAGGCCCCTTTAACATTCATATATTAATGGTTTGGTGATGATGAACTCCTTTAGTTTTCTCTTGTCTGGGAAGCTCTTTATCTGCCCTTCGATCTAAACGATAGGTTTGCTGGGTAGAGCAAACTTGGCCATTGGTCCCTGCTTTCCATGACCGAATATTTCTTGCCAATCCCTTCTAGCCTGCAAAGTGTCTTTTGAGAAATCAGCTGACAGTCTTATGGGAACTCCCCCGTAGGTAACTGACTTCTTTTCTCTTGCTGCTTTTAAGAGTCTCTCTTCAGCTTTAAACGTTGGCGTTTTGATGGTGACGTGTCTGGGAGTGGGCCTCTTTGCCTCCATCTCGTTTGGGACTCTCTGTGCTTCCTGGACTTGCATGTCTATGTCGTCACCAAATTAGGGAAATTTTCCTCTTTATTCTTTCAAATAGATTTCCAGTGTTTTGCTCTTTCTCTTCTCCTGGCGCCGCTATGATGCGAATGTTGGAATGCTTGAAGTTGACCCAGAGGCTCCTTACTCTCTGCGTGTTTGTTCGGATTCTTTTTTCTTCCTGTTGTTCTGCTTGGTTGTTTTTTGCTTCCTTGTGTTCCAGATCCTTGACTTGATCCTCAGCTTTATCCACCGTACTGTTGTTTCTCTGTAAATTGGTCTTT